CACACACACACACACACACACACACACACACACACACAAATGCTTCAAGAAAAATGTAAAAGATGTTCTGATATTTTATACCTGGTTGGAATTGGGACTTCAGCCAGTCCTTGAATCAAGACAGCTGGAGACAACCTGACAAATGCAACCACAGTTCTATCTAAGAACTCCAGTTCTCCAACTAAGATGTTTGAAGCTTCAGCACCTGGAGGAATCTTTTTCATAAAATGCAGATCAACCTGTGATCATCACAAAGTAAAGAAGGTAAATCAAAACTGGAACAACATGGTAAGTAATAATTTAGAACACTGCTTCATATATATTATCCATCAATAAATACAATTCAAATAATACAGATGTATATCTCATTTGCCCTTTTTCTATAATAAATTTCTTTATTTTCTTCTTTTTTTTTCAGTACTAGGGGAAAAAGACCCAGAGGTGCTCTGCCACTGACCCACCTTCCCAGCTCTTTTGATTTATTTTGAGACAGGATCTCCCTACATTGCTGAGGCTGGGCTCAAACTTGCCATCCTCATTCCTTGGCCTCCTAAGTAGCTAGAATTACAGGTGTGCACCACCACACCATGCATGACACTTTTCTTTACTTGTAGATGATTTTACTTTGTTATCAATGAGCTAAATATTTCATTTTTCTATTCACTATTTTAAAAGATTTTTTTAACATCAGCAATCTTTAAATTTGGGTAGTAGTAGTATATGTACTTAAATTTACTGTAACTATATATTAACTAGCATTTGTCAACAGATTCAATATTTTGTGCCAGATTGTCTTAATTTTACATAATACGTTTTTATTAATTAATACTCAACATATGGCTATTTCAAAAGAAATATAATCATGTTTCTTCTTACAGTATAAATTATGACTTTAGTATTCATCTTTATTCTAATTGTTCTATATTATTCATGTTTTATACTTGGCATGCTACTTCTTCAATTTAATTTCTTATTAAGGAATTTAGACATAACAGAATAGATAAAACAAGAAAAAAAAGTATCAACATTAGGCATTGCTAAACATCCATAGCTGAATTTCAAATATGAGATGTCTATGACTGAATGAACATAATAAAGTGATCATTAACAGGAAGAAATGCTAAAAGTAAAGAGTGGTGTCTGAAAAATGAATGTAAAAATCTTTAAGAATAAATATCAATTTTTATACAAAAGACTTTGGTGAAAACCAAGCAGGGACTTTATACTAAAATTACAAGGCCTATTTCTTGTTTTTTTATTCACTTGAGTTGCTTTTTATGGAACTATGTTTTTTTAGGGGAACAGTTTATCTTCTCTAGTAATTGGTTTTATACTCTCCTATTAATGAAATGAGGGCCAAAGATCAAAGTGAGAATAACCAAGAGAGAGAGAGGAAAGAGCTCTGGCAAACAGAGTGAGGCTGAAAAGATATTTTTAGGCCAGACAATTGTTTAGCTGGTTAGTAATATGAGGAATTTTTCCAAAAAGTTGAAGGTAAAAATATTTAAAACTTCTAGGAGTACTTTATAAAATTCACAGCCACATTTTAGTGACCATATTAAATCTGTTGCTTTCTTAAATTAAGACTTCAGTAAAACTATTTGATAGGTTGAGAATGAAATTATCTTTCTGTAAGACAAGAATTTCAAAAACAAAATATCCAGTATGTACAGTATTAATTTCATTATAAGGATTAAGTGTAAAAGTAATCTGTACTAGTTTATAAAAATGTCAAATAGAACCAATATCTTATTTAAGAAAAGGGAAAATGATTTAACAAAGTAAAATTGCTTATAAAAGAAATATTTGACAAATATCATAAATTCCAAAGTTTTTACCCCACAAATATACTTCAAATATAAATTTATAAGCTTATTTATATAAACTTATCATAAATCATACAATATAGAATATTGCATGGTAAATATATTTCTTTTATAGAATTAACCTTCTATTATAAAATCTAATTTAAAGATGACAAAGGAATTTAGTTAATAAGAAAGTTAATTTTATGGGATTTTCATACTTAATATTTCTAGCTGATAGGTACATTGAAACTTCTACAAATTAATAATACTTTACATTTTTACTATAGTGCTAAAATCTTAAGAAGGGAATAGAAGATTTGCCATATTAGTCCTATGAGAAAAACATAATACGTTGTCCTAAGTTTTTCAGAGCTTATAAAAATGAAGTTTCAGTGATAAATATTAATACACTAGGACAAAATTTAAAATGAGAAAATAACTTTTTAAGAAAATCAATAATTGTAATCAATATGAGGCATATTAAGAATTCCTGAAATTTAAATTCCACCTAGAAAAATGTCTTTAAACTCATTTATTATTTAATAAATGCCATAGTCTTTCCTATAAAAGTCTGTGCTTCAGGCAGGTAGCTATTACAGATTAAATTTAATTAAATCAGAGCATATATAGTATGCTAAAATAGTTTAATTTTCAAAAACTAATGGTACTTATACATGATTTTAAAAATTTTTGTAATACCTACTATATCATTGATACAGTTATTTAGAAAATACACAGAATTTAATTGCAGATTAGCAGGTTTATCTTTCATTTTGAAATTCAATAAATTATAGTTAGGTGTACTATATTATATTTATTACATTATATTATTCTTGGAATAGACATGTATTTCAGGGATAAGAAATTACATGTTATAATAGTTATATTATTATGTTATTCCTGGCCTAGCCCTATATTTTTGTATTTGTGATATGTATGATTCATAAAATATCTTATTTGGCAATATCCCTACCTATTAATATAAACAAAAAATCACATCTGAAGAACCATAAATTATAGTTACCTAAAAACAGCTCTGGTGTCTAGGTTGACTGAAGTTCTTAAGACAATTTTCAAGTGGATTCCAATATTTTAAATGGTTAGAAAGAAATTCTGAAAGTTTTTGATCCTTCCAAAGGAATCTTCAAGGAATGAAGCTGTATTTTCTTGGATTTATTTTCTGGATTTACACTCATGTTTCTGGGCTCTTTAGACTTCACTGTCATGCTGAGGGATAGATCCTTTATTCTGGGCATTGGTATATAAGCCATGGATGAAAAACAGTTTGTAGGGAAGAAGATTGGACAAGACCATGGCAGAACCAGAAGAATCTAGGCAAGCTCCACACTGACAGAAGAAGGGTAATTAGGCAGAAATTTTGAAAGAAAGCTTTACATCTTGAGGCCCTTATAGAAAGCACAAGAAAGTCAATAGAGAATATGAGGAGGAATCACTATTTTGACACTAACTAGCCAACAATCTTGAGTCCTTCTCTTAATCTCTCTGAGATTCAGCTTCGTTGTCAGTCTCAAATTTCCTATAGTTCTAGGATTTAATAATCCAATTCTTTGTAATATGTGTTACAAACTAAAGATAAATGCAAAAGATGTTTTTTAATCCCCAAACTAAATTATATAAAGCCTTCTTTGGTTTATTTGAAATAAAAGAAACACTACTGACATATATTCTATTGTCAGTTTATAAAAGAAAGAAGTATATAGTGGGGTTTTAAAAAAATTTTTTAGTTGTAGACAGACACAATACCTTTACTTTATTCATTCATTTTTATGTGGTGCTGAGGATAAAATCAAGTGCCTCACCCGTGCTAGGCAAGCACTCCACCATTGAGCCACAACCCCAGCCTGAGGTATATAGTGTTTTGACAAATCTTCTTTTAAAAGCACTTAGAAAAAGCTAAAACCTGGCAATTCAGATTATATTCTAAATTACTTCTTCAATGAATAAATTTGATGGTTCTATCCGTGGATGAATTAAAAATATGTAGATTGAAGGTGGATAGAATATAAGGTCAGGTCACATGAAGCAAATAAGTAAATGACCATTTTTTTAACATCTCAGAATTTTACTGTGGTTTAGAATCTACATATTAAGATATTTAAATAGACATAATAACCTGGACATTACCTGAGCTTTGATTAATTTACTATAAAACTGATATCATTAGGCTAAAAGAAAAATCTTAACTCATCTACCTGTAAAATCTGGCACTAAAAGTTGTTTCTATAGTGATGGATAACTTCTGTTCTCTCCAAATCCTCCCAGGTTATAGAATTAGGAATGTTATTTGTTTTTCTTATTTTTTTCCTTGTGTGTGTGTGTGTGTGTGTGTGTGTGTGTGTGTGTGTGTGGTGCCGGGGATTGAACCCAGGGCCTTGTGCATGCAAGGCAAGCACTCTACCAACTGAGCTATAACCCCAACCCTCTTGTTGTTTTTAATCCCAAAACTAAAGGTTTAGATTATTTTGAATCTTGTAGGTGAAATTCATTTAACAAATACATCCCAGCCTTATTTAAGACTTAAAGAGTGCATATCTACCAAAACATTAAAACCTGGTTTGTTATTTATTTGGTTACTTCCATTTCTACTAATATTAATATAACAATAATAATAGAAGCCACTTTTATTGAGCATCTACTATATGCCCAGTTCCCTGCCAGGTTCACTGTCTCTCTCATTGAATCTTGTAACAAAACCACAGATATGTATCATTATTATTATTATTATTATTATTTTATAAATGAGAAGACTGGAGTTCAGAGAATTTCTCAATGATCAGATAATTTATAAATGCTAGAGTCAGGATCAAGATCTCAAATCTATTTTCTTTCCAATATACTATAGTAAGGATAAGAACCTGAGAAACACAAATGACAGGCACTAAGTAGAGGGAAAATTTAATTTCCCTATTAAATGGACCAGTGAATGGAAATGTGATGATGAAGAAGAGGATTAAAGGAAAACATTTATTTTTTATTTTTTTCTAGTCCTGACTGTTTGAGGAGAACAGGAAATAAGACTACTGTCTTCAATTGTCAATCTTCATATTCCTTATAGGTGATGATACATTTTTGAAGGTTGTAAAAATAGGTCACATAACAAAAACCAAAACGACATTGAGATATATAAAAATTCAGTATATAAGTGTTACATTATTTTAGAAAGTTAAAAGGTAGTTAATTGGAAAGGATGAGCTATAGAGTTTATAATCATTATTTTTGAGAATGTTAAATATGCCCTTGTTATACTGTTAATGTTTGCATAAATGAATAATCAATTTTATATGTCATGACTTTTAAGATTATTATTTCAAATTAAGAATATCACAAATTAAGTTACAGCAGTTTGTGACAATTTTATTCCAACTTTCAGATGAATGAAGATGTAATGCCTTAAAAGATAATTTTTAGAGTGGCAGATGGAATACATTTGAACCGGCTGAATATTTGAATCACATGCCTCCATACAGTGAAATGAGCTCTGAACCACTGTAGAAAAGTAGCCCGAGGAAGCCCTCACCTCTCTCTCTTGCTGGTGTGGAGGTCCTTTTTCATGCCTTTGTTTCATCCCACATGGACTAGTGTGCCCCTTTTGCTGGCCTCCCAGTCCCTGCACGCATAATTAACAGACTTAAGCTGGTATACCAGGCTCCCATGAGACTCCACCAGGCATCAGAGGAGAACATGCACTTAACTAGACTTAGATCACTTAGGCATTATCACAGCAATGCTGAAACAGAACTGATTCAGTCAACTTCCTCCATTGCAAGGAGCCTCCCATTCCTATCTCAGACCACTCATTCACTATTACAACCTTTGCCAGCACTAAGGACTTTATCAAAGTATTAATTCAGTTATTACTGTTTCAGCCACTTAGATAAAGAGTATTGTTTGCTCTTATTATTTTTCATGTATTACAATTTCTCTTTTTGAATGTTAGTTTTGATAACTTACAATGGCACATATGCAATGTCAGGAATTTGCCAACCTAAATTACATTATTTTCACTGACTCCTTATTTTATTAGAATATATTCAAATAAATGATTTCTTTTGAATTGTCTCCAATTAGATGTATCCATCAACACTGTCATCTTTAGTGTGCTTTTATTCAAAACAGCCCAGTTTCACCATGTCCTTCTAGGATTTCCTTACACTAATGACTCTGAATTATAATGACAGTAAAGCTTTATAGTATATGATTTGTTTTTCCATAAATATCATAAAAGTGATTTTGAAAAATACTAGTAAAAATTTTTAAACATCAAATTAAACTTATGTTAAAATCCCTGTGAAGTCCAATTATTTCTTTTATTGAAAGAAATACATTATACCAAGTGGCTGAATACTGAAAATTGTGCATAAAACTCATATGTTCAGTTTCTTGAGTAAGCAAAACAATATATGTGCACCTAATGCTAACATTATCTATAACAATTCCAAACTTTGACTGAAAAAAAACCGAAAAGTGCATGCAAAAAAAATTATGTCAATAACCTCCTAAAATAGGTAGTAATTTCTAACAGTAATTGAGTAAACTTCTTAGATGAGAGAGAGAGAGAGAAAAGTTTACCTTGCTAAAGTCAACAGTGCTGTTTTCTCTGCTAACATCATTTTTATTTTCAACACAAGCAGGAGCAGACTGAGGAGAAAGAACCTGACCTGCTAAAAGAAATTGTTATTACAAAATACAGAAAATTATTTACATAATTTTGGGTATACAGAGTGAAACATCAACTTCAATTAAACTAGACTAACAGATTTCTTAATAAGTTTTGTGATATAAACATGAAGGATCAATATAAGTAGATCTGGATCAATACCAAATTCTTAACAGTTACAGATAGAAATGGGAGAAATCAGTCAATAAAATTTAAACCAATTCTCAACTTAAAACTCTAGAGATTATTCTCTCTGAAAAAAAAATGTGCTTACAAAACCACCTAAATCTAACCATGATTGTGAAACAGCATTAATTTTCAAATATCAATCAAAAAAATGGTATATTTAAAAAATACAGATATCTATTAAGATTTAAGCGCAGACTATAGAATTTCAAATATTTTAAAAAAAGATGAATGTTGATTTAAAAATTACCTAGCACTTTTAGATCTAATCACATCTAAAAAGCCAAACCAGTAAGTTTTTCAGCAATAAGTTTTAGAGGTTTCTATAATAGGGTTTCAGTTAGAAATATCTTTATTTGATACAGTATAAAAATAATAAATATAATTTTAATGAATGTGACTATTTGATTATATAAGCATACTTATATTGGGCTTCTATATAAGAATGATCAATAAACGTGAGTTGTATTAGTCTTCTTTTAACACTCACCAAAACTAAATTCTCTTGTAGTTCTTTTCCCTATTATAGTGAAGATTACATTAGTTAAGTACAGATCAGAGCTGGGGATGTGACAATGGACGGAAAAGGTTAAATCCCATCATTCACTAACTACCAAATATTCTTTGCAGTTATAAGTCATTTAAAATCTATCCATAGTTCACAATTAAATGACAAAGGTTTATTTAACTTCTCACTTATGACTCTTCTTCCTCAACCTCTTCCCATCTCCACCCTTCCTCTGTGAAATGAGTGATGACAACCCAACTTTGAAGATTTGACCACATTTATGACCTTAACTCAGTGACTCCAAAATATTGCGCTCACTCTCATCAGTCTGAGACTTCAGAAATACTCTCTCTACCTAGCTCTTCTTTCTACCTACCTAAATCTCAATTTTATTCCAAACTCCTCTTTTCATTCCCCTCTTCTCCAATTATTGTGGTCTTCATTTGAACTTCTATAATTCCAATAGTACTTACAAAAGAAAAAAAAAACTTCCCTTTTAAATTCTCTCCTAAAACCTCACTTATTCTTTGTTACCTAGAAATCACCTAGTGTGATTAGAAACACTATCATTTTTGGAATATTAAGCCTCTCAGGTAGGAGTCAGTTACTAATAGAAACAATTTTATGATTTAACATTGTTATAATGTCAGAAAGCAACAGGGCTTAAGACACTTTTAGAGCTTAAATGCTTCTCTGCTTTCACTAAACAAAGTAAAATACAATATTTGGTGAAAATAAAATAAGCAACTTTTAAAAGCAAATTCACCTCAATCCATGTATGCAAGTTCTGATTATAGCATATTTCAGGAAAATTTATAAAGTTCAGAGAAATGTCAAACAAAGTACATAAAATATTTCCATTCTCCCATTTCTAACTGCAATATGCAACTCTCACTGTGAACTGTTCATTAGCAGCCATTCAATTTACCATTCTCAAATTAATAACTGTAATTTTTAAAAAAACCTTTTACATAATGCATTTGTGCTACTAACAGATGTCTTCAATCACCAGTTTCACATCATTTCTCCATATTTTCATGAGTTAGAACATTAGATATATTTCAAACTAAATTTATTGAATGTTCTATAAAATTGAGAGGTGAAACACAAGTCATGGGAAAATTAAATAAACATGTATCTGCTTTCTTACAATAATTAGTTTCATGTGGTATAAAACTACATTGAAGAACAATTATTTAATTCTCTAAGTATACACGTTCAAAAAGGAAGTAACCCCATGCAAAATCATCAACTTTGAAGAGATTGAATCAAATGGAAAGTATGTTGAAACTTAAAATTTGAAGAAATTGAATATCTTTTGTTTTTTTTGTATATTTTCAGTAGAACATTTCACAAATTATTTTTAGGTCATGCAATATGTTTAAAACATTAGCATCTATATTTATACTTGCAAAGAATTTTAGTCATAAATGTTAATAATTTTAAGACATTTTGTAATTTATTATTCTAGTCTATTCTTGTTCCAAGATGACTAAAAAATTTTACAAAACATTACCCTATAAAGTTGATATTAAGGAAATGATTTAGGAACTATTTTCTTTGAGTATTTTAAGTGGGATTGATAATGATCTAGTTGAGAATATTTAGCAGGAATCATACTAGATGATAATAAATTCCTTGCTATTTCTAGATTCTAGATGTGTGCAAAGAATATATGCTAATGCAGGGGGGAAGGCATAAAAACTATCAGCCTATGAGATAGTAATATAAACCACAAATTTTTTATCTTTTATATTTTGGAGATATAGTAAAATGTACTTATCATTACAAAGGTCCTGAAAAGAGATATAGTAAAATGTACTTATCATTACAAAGGTCCTGAAAATTTTAAGAAGCATTTGAAATCTTAGTATATTACTTCTTAAAACTTGCATTAATTATTTAAGACAAAAGAATACATTAAATGTGTATATCTTCAGAACAGTTATGACAAGCTGGCAGAAAATAGAAAAATGTTCAAGTACTATAATTTAAAAAGTAATAAGTTTGGTTCGGGTTATTTGTAAAAAAAAAATAGAAGCCTTTAAAAGTAGCTCAAATTTTTATTTGATATATTTATAAAACTAAAATCCAAACATGATTTATAGTCCATAGAATTACTAGAACTCTCATATGTTGAAGAAACTTTTATAATTCTGTTGTGAATCATAATATCTCTTAATATTTCTTTAGTTTATTCAAATCATTAAAAATTTTCAAAAGAAATTGATGGGCTTGAATATCAAAGTAGATTTCTTGAACTAAAAAACTATTATATAAAAGTAATCCAGCTAGGCATAGTGGCGTACACCTGTAATCCCAGCAACTCGGGAGGCTGAGGCAGGAATATCATGAGTTAAAAGCCAGACTCAGCAACGGTGAGGCAATTCAGTGAGACCCTGTCTCTAAATAAAATACAAAATAGGGCTGGGGATGTGGTTCAGTGGTTGAATGCCCCTGAGTTCAATCCCCAGTACCAAAAAACTAAACAAAAAAGGTAATCTATGCATTGAAATTTTGAAAGAGCATCACAAACTTTCTTGCTGACTTGCTGATGTCTAAGGCCATAGTTTACAAAATGGCAATTTTTAAGTGCAGAATTTATCCTTCAACCAGAAGAGAATGTGTTCTAAATAGAATAACTAATAATTTGCTAGGATATTTTCTTACCAGGAAAAAAAGATAGTATATAGTTTGAGTTTAGTACTCACATATTTGTGGAAGCTTTATGAATGCTACTTATTTGTTATAGCTTTCCTAATCATTATATTACAATGCTTGCAAACAGAAATGTTTTAACTTGTTTCTTTATTGTTACCTTCAGTTTGTCCACTGATAACTTTCCATATTTATATCACCTATGAGTGAATGTCATTGCAATGTTTAACAACCTTTGTTATTATAATATCTAAATAATTTTAAGGCATTAAAATGATTGTAAAAAAGGTATTTATTAACTTGGTATCCTATTACATTCAAAGTATTCAAAAAGTGATGGAAAGTAAAAAAAGCATTAATAGTAACCAGAGTCTAACTATTTAAATGTAAACACTGATAAGCCTAACACATCATCCTCTATCATACATCTATATATTCTGTTACACTTGAAGAATTCTTCACTTTAATCCCAATTCTAATATTTGTTTTACATCTCATCTAAGTATATGCAATATTCATATGAATACTTGCTTGAATTAATTTCTTTAAATGATAAAATGATCTTTCCCTCTGGACTTACATGTAGGAATCATATAAAAATATTATAGTTAATGTATTTTTCTAGGGCCAAGCACAGGATAAAAACTGACAGCAATTCAAGTGACCCCTGCCTGAAAAATGGAAGCTCTGCTTCTCTGCTTGTCACACCATAAATTTTTCATTAAATGTTTTGTAATACTGGCATAGCCGTTTCCTTAATTATAATATTGTAGGATGGGAACAATAGATTACATCAGACGTACTATTTCATGACTTCAAGTCATGTCAGTATCATTAAAATACCTCATCATTAAACACAATGGTAAATATGTTCTCAAAAAATATCTTGTGTATTACACTGATTCATTCAAGTCTTTACATATAGTTCTCTCCCTCTTTAAGTAAATTGTGCACAGATGTATTGTAAAATAGCAGCTTTTAAATTTTTATTTGGCCAATTTCAAATCAATACTGCTTAAGTGTATCATTGTTTGGTATTGCTTATTCTACTGTAAATCATGTGTACTAGAAGGAAACTGGGATGAAGACATGGAAATACATTACTATTAACCTAGAGACCAAGCTGGTTACACTACCTCAGAAACCGTCAACGCATTTAGAGTACCCAAAGGGTAGGAGATGAGGGAGGTACAGAGATGAGATGAGCCTGTTAGAGACAGACACAAGACAGAGCAAAATAAAGAAATATAAAGATGAATGACAAAGTTACATACATGTGTAACAATACATTTATTCATGGGATTAGAAAACATGAAGAAAGAAGGTCTAAATATTTAGAAAATGTTGACTAGGTGAGATATATTTAATAAACATGAAAGTATGCATATAATTAAACTTGGAGAAAAATTAGTATGCCTGAAAATAATTAATGTAATATAAGAAATAACAAATTTAAGCACATCATCATAGAACTAAGCTTGCTATTAAGATTTAGTCTTGACTTCAAAACTCAACTACAACAATATAATATTGTTGTATACAATATAATATAATCCCTGAACAAACCCATCAATTTTGTCAACAATGCCATCCTGGTTTTCTTTCACCTACACGAATCTTTTAATATGCTTTCTGTCAAGAAATTCTAATAAGAAATATTCTATCTTTACCTTTTTCTTCCTAGATAGAACATTATTAGAGATAAATATTACACCATAGGTATCTTATTTATGAGACCACAATATTTAAAAAACAACAAAACATATAAATATCAAGACACATAAAGGCATCATGCATTTGTAAATAAAAAGTACAGCATTTGTAAAATAAGTGATTATAAGGCAATAAATTGGATTTCCAAAACCACAAATAATAATAATTCACAGTACATATGTATACAGTGCTTCAAGGGCTGGAATCTACCTAGGTCTAAAGAATCAACACATATCCCAACCTTCTGAACCTAAATGTTCTTCAGTAATTATGTATTTGAACAAATACTAAAGACCTTCTGCTTTACAGTTTGTTTTGAGATTCTAAATATGAAACACATAAAAGAGAGGGACAGAATTAGAAATTATTAGTAAAGGACAGAGTGGATTGAAGACACCCTACATCTAAGGAAACTAAGAGTCTCATATTGTTTTCAAAACTACAAAAGTTATTACAAGGGTAATAACATTTTGAAGTTGACTTGCAATTCAAATTTCTCAGTAAGTGAATTTATGACCTAAGTAATAAATGCAAATACTAATTTATTTTGCTTTTTTGATTATTTTAGTCTTATTTTTAAAACATCTTCTAGTTTCAAGAAAGTATCTGAATATATATATATATATATATTTTTTTTTTCAGGGTTGTAATGTCAAAGTAGATATTGTTTTTCTATTATTTTTGCTGTTGTTTTGCCAAATGTAACTTGTCACTTTTTATTGAAACATCAGAATCAGACATTTAATTCTCACAGTTTTGATGCTTAATGAAAAGTGAAAGTTAAACACAGCATGGTGGCATTAAAAATGCATGGTGAATCCATAGCATCCTGCATCTTAGCCCATGAGAATATGCAGAATACCAAGAAAAAATTATACAAAAAAAAGTACAGTATATTGGGAGGTGGAGATTCACAAATTACCACAATTACTAAAAAAGTATGAACAAAATTGTAGACATGGGAAGGAGAAGAGCAAGGAACTACACTATCTTGTTAATCTAACCTTTAAAACTAGAAAGACACACATTCACAATAGCACCTGGATGTTTAACCTTTGGAGTAATACTGTTATAGTTTGGATATGTGGTATCCCCAAAAGCTCATGTGTGAGACAATGTGGGAAATTTTAGAAGTGAAATGATGAGATTATGGGATATTCAACCCAACCAGTGCATTAATCCTCTTGAATGTGTTAACTGGATGGCAACTATAGGGTGTGACTGAAAGAGGTAAGTCACTATGGGCATGTCTTTGGAGTATATACTTTTTGTCCCTGATAAGCAGAGATCTTTCTGATTCCTGGTGGCCATGTCCTGAGCTGTTTTCTTCCACCACACACTTCTATTGTTCTGCCTCACCTTGAGCCCAGAGCAACGGTGTTTGTTGGCCATCTCTGGACAGAGACCTCTGAAAATATGAGTGCCAAATAAACTGGCTCCTCTAAAAATGTTCTTTTAGGTCTTTTAGTCACAGCAGTGAAAACATTGACTACAGTAACTCCCAAAGTAGCATGCTCAAGGAACTATTCAATTAAGGGAGTAGAAAACTCATTCTAAGTAACTCTTTTAAATATCTTTACATAATCATCAGTCCATTTTTTAGGGCATTTCAATATCTTTGCCCCTAAAGCAAAAGCACATTAAATAAGAAGAGAGAATTTATCTCCATATTTATGTTTTGAAAGGAAAATATGTTCTGCCATCAAATTTCTGGAAAATGCTCCCTACTTAATTCTTATTCTATAATCATAAAAGAAAAAAGTGAACCTTCTTGGGCGAAATATCTTACTGAAGAGATTTTTAAATAAGAAAATATTATTTTTATTCTTTTTGATATTTTAAAATCCTTTTGCATCTCCCTGTACTACTACACCAAAAAATTTGAACCTCTATTGGATGTTTTGAAACCTAATGTCAAGTCTATATATATGGCTATGAATTTAAATTTGTTTGTTTATCTAGACTTTGTCAGTTTTTAGAGTTCATAAGTAGATTGAGAACCTTAGTAGTAAAGGTCTTTCACACTTTTTTTCACTTCTGAGTAGAAGATTTATTTCTAAATTGGTAAAGTCTATACATATTTTCAGAATTCTCAGCACACATAATTATGTAAAGTGTGTGAGAAAGCAAAACAGAGTCATAAGGAGGTGTTATAAGCCTAGGCTTAGAAAACCACTTCTGACAGCATACTCTACAACAATACTTAATTGGATATATGAATCTTATTACAAGTGTTTCCAAGTTTTTATTACCCTAACGTATGCCCTGAAAAGATTCGTGTGTGTTCAGATAAAGGCTGATTTTACAGATGGCAACAGAATCACTCAGATACTACTTTTTGGGAAAACTAAGCCATTTCCTGAATAAGACAAAAAGTAAGCTCTCAGAAAACCTTGTTATCTATATCTATATCTATCTATACAGAAACTTGTGACTCACGGCTTAATTCTACGGCTATAATTCTCACATCTTTTTTTTTTTTTTACATTTGACAGAAGTTTAAAGCAAAAACAGTAAGTCTAAGTCTGCATGATATTATAATAAATGGTCAGTTGATCCAGTAAATTCCATGCCCTCTTCCCTCAGAAAACAAAAACAAAATTCAATGAAATTTTTGTATAGTAAACATTATTCCAAATGAAGTTTGAGGTTAAATTATAGCTAGTTCACAGCCTAAGATCATTGCCTCTTTGAAGAAACACAAACTTTTCTTATAGACATATACATTTTATTTGTCTGGTTTTCAGTAAAATTGACAAAATGAAGGCAATAGTTTAATTTTTCAAAAGGTATATAAGTTCTTGGATAATTAGTTCCTGGGTATATTTTCATAAGGTTTGTGAAATCCTGTAAACATAAGCTCATACTCAAAATTAGGAAAATTTGAATTAGTTTTCTTGACATTACCAAACCAAATTAAAAATACTAGCATTACAAGAATAATAAAATTACTACATTTTTCTCTCTCCAATCATAACTTCATTTTGTCATTAATATGTATCATATAGCTTAAATGAAATTGTGATTCAGAATATAAATATATGGCATAAAAGATTTGAATCAAAGAATGCTATCTGTCTTCACAATATTCAGTGGAATCTGTAATCTTAAGTTGCTATAAACCATAAAGTGCTCATTACAATTTTTGCAAATTTTATGTATGCACAACTATATATCCTTCTATACAACATCAATGACATCTTCAGTCATTGGGGCTTCTAAAAATAAAACAAGTATCTTGCTATTGGAAACTAGACCTACATTCTGAAACAAAATTGAGTGATACCTTAGACCATTTCTTCTGTATTTGTTTGTGTATATTTGATTTAGTAGTATGAAAACTGGTGAAAATTTCCATACAAAGCAAAGTCTAGAGAAAACTCAATTTCATACATTTGTGTTTTTAAGACATCACTAAAGATTTTGAAAAGGAATGAAATCACACAAGATTTAGTCCATGCTGTCAACACATGTGCTTTAGGACTTTTATAGCTGATGGAAGATTTAACAAACTCATTTTTATCTCATGCTAACTCCATTTACCCTAATGAGACTAATGGAAAATAAATGATACTGAAATTTCTAAGTGGCTTTCTTAGTGTGGTCTATGTAAGATTAAATTGATGCAAGGGGAGACCAAAGAATACAGGAGATAAAACAATCTGAAGTGGAAGTCAAAGTAAGTTAATGATTTCTGTAAAATAATAGTATGTGAAGATGATCCATGAGGAGGCTCCAACACTGAAGATGCCACACAGCACACAACAATGAGCCCATGAGTAGAAATGAGGTCTAGCATAGGTAGAATCACGTGCAGCGTGCTGGTGGGGCTTTCAATTGCTAACTCTAATGGAATTCAGTGACTGTGAGCAACATGAGGCCAGCATCTTTTTCCACAACACTAAATAGTAAGCATTATTCATTGCAACTAAAGACCACCTTTGACATTAAGTTGAAGCATTGCATTACTTGTTTGAGATGCCAGAGATGCTCCATTTATGTTTGCTGCATTCATATGTGTAAGTTCTTATTAGATATGTTTTCTTTGCATTCTTTCATGAACCTTTCAAGAAACTTAAATTCCTTGTTAAAATTTCTACAATTTGATACTTGATAATAAGACTACATATACAGTATATGCCTATGAAAAGAAATAATTCCACTATAACAATATGAATTGTAATAAAACATTTTCAAGTGAAATATGTTTTAAAGATATAGAAACACTGATAGTTTAGAGATCTATTTATGGAAATATTTACCATTTTTATCCATGGAATTTGGTTCTGATTGTTTCTTGCCAATATCAGCAAAGGATCGAACAATGGGAATTCTGTTGGTAAGTTTTTTCTGATTTTGGTGGTGGTGCTGTTTCATCAGTGCCTCGTGGACCCTGTGACGTACATCTTCATTCAGCTGACCTGAGCTCACCTGTTGGTCAAGGACCATATCTGAAGGAGGGAAGGCAAGAAAATATGAGCATAGCTTTCCTGTTGTACTATGCTAGCAGTGGACCGACCACTGGGTCCAAAACTGTAAACCTTAAATACTAGTTTTGATCTTGAAATAGGAATGAATTTCTTTAAAAATATATAGGTATGATATTAATAAGCAGAAGTCTATCTTCCCATATAGAATGCTGAATAAAGAACATATGCATTTTTGAGCATAAACCATTTAATTAATTTTTTTACAAAAAAAATAAGAAAAAGGTTTTATTCTCAAAGTCTGGATTGTTTCCAGAAGGAAACTCCTCTAGAATTAATTAATTTTAAATATGTAATTCTCATAGTTTTTTTTTTCTCCAAATGACATAGTTGTATTGAAAAAAAAGTTATGTTCTTTATTGTTTGCACTGAATATTTATAGGGGTAGCATCAAAATAATTTGTATGAAATTGTGGTTTTATACTTATACTTTAATATAATTTAACATGATTTTCTTCCATTTTATTGTTTCCTCTTTAAGTGAAAATATAGTGCATGGAGATCTAGGCAACTATTTAGTTGCCCACATTTGGAGAATAAACAGTTCAACTTCATATTGACACAAAATCATTCCTTTCTCAAGCTTTTCCTTGAAAATATGTTTAGATAAAAAGTCCTATAACTGCAAAAAATGGAATTGAAGGTACTATTTCAGAAGGCTATCACGAAGGAGATTGACATTTACCACACATAGTATCAGAAATACCCATAAAAGAATTGGTTAGGTAAAGGCATTTTGAGTTAAGTAGTAATACGGCTGATCACCTCAATAAATCTCAATGCAATTTGTTTAAGATTATCAAATATAACTGTGATTAATTTCTGAAGCACTAACTCTTTATATAAAATACATTACAATGAATCATTTCCACTGCCTCATTGAGGACACTGAAGGTTTCAACTTAGCAGAATTCTCCCTTCTATGCTATTGTTTTCTTTCAATGTGAAAGGAAAAAGGATGAGGGAGATAGACCTGGTTCACTCTATCACATTCCATCTGTGTGGCCTTACAAAATTGAATATGCTTATTTGTAAGGGGGAAGGTAGTAATATCTCATATTTTTGCCAGGACTAATGACATAAAGCACCTGATGTACCAATTGGAATATTGAAGCTATTGGTAAATAATATTTCCAAATACAAGATTTTCTTTGCAATAATCTTTAACTAGGCTATGAGTCCCTAATTTGAAATTTGCAGTAGTTTTAATACATTCATATTTTATTATAGTATATGATATAGAGAAAAAGTGGGCTAGCTGATAACAGAAAATACATATCAAACGAGCTAAAATAATTAATTTTGTTGGTTCACATAATAGGAAGACCAAAGTTAGGCTGGCTTTGATTCCATTCCTCTGTGGTTCTGCCTGCTTCTCTCCTCTACATGTAAGTTTTAACCTCCACCTGGTGTTCCTTATGGACATAAGGTAGCAGTCAGCAACAAGGAAATATATATCCTTGCTCATATCCAACAAGAAATTTGATTAACTTTTTGTGATTGTCTCTTAAAAGGGTCTTCCCCCAGACAGGAAAAATTCTCCTAGGTCCAGCTGACAAAGCCCTGAATCAGTCATCAGCAATGAAACCAGAATCAGTCATCAGCAATGAAACCAGGCTTCACATAATTAGCTTAGACTAATTAAGAACTGCCCTTCACTGAAGAGTCAATTCTCTAAACCAGACGTAGACACTCTTTTTCTGAAGTAAGGCAGATAATAGAAATGTTAGGCTTTCTGGACCATGTGCTCTCCAGCATAACCACTCAACTCTGCCTTCATAGCACAAAAATAGCCACAAACAACATACACAAATGAGCACAGATGTGCTCCAGCAAAATGTTTTTATGGTTACTTAAATTTTTATTTCACATAATGTCACATTAAAAATACTAATTTTCTTTTTATTATTTTCAACCATGTAAAATGTAATCACCATTTTTAGCTAAAAAGCCTTATTATATAGGGCTGCAGGCCACGTTTAGAATGTGGGATATAGATAGTTTGCTCTATTGATTTACTATTTCCCATGAAAAGAGATGAAAATAAGTATTTGGTAGTCAGACTTAATAAATATGTGAAATATTCAGATTTCAGCCACTATAACTATCTCAAAAGGTCACTTTCAATTATGAAGATATATAATATTAGGATAATATTTAAATCCATATGTCAACTCTTTGAAGATCAGTAGTTATAATGCCCCTAAATTACTTTAAAATAAAAGATCTGTAAATATTCAAAATATATGACATTATACTGAATCCTTGCTAGGATCGAAAAAATATGTATAAAATATGCTTATAATATATGTTTCATAAAATAATTTAAAATAGATTATTAAAACATCAATATGACATCATTATAAGGCAATTTCATCCATAAGCTATGGTATGATGTGCCTATTTGATATTCTAATTAATCATAAAAATTAATTATATAATAAACTATGAACATGTTTATAATTTTTCATTTCTAATAAGCTACAATCTTTTCAGTTTTGAGCACTACAAAGACTTATAGACTGCTAGCTTCACAGTTTCTCAGCAATGATGTCTTTATTTTAAACAGTAACATAAGAGAAAGTAAATATTTTAAAAAATACTTATCTGCTCATTAGTTACACAAAATATACAATAAACTCCTTTGAGGTATAACAGCATCAAATAACCCATTAATGAAGTAGAAAAGCTAATCTTCTTGTTTATGAATATAACTTATAGTAGGGTGAGATTATAGTACCAATGGGAATCTGATTCAAAAATCACATACATTGTTCTCTTCATCACTATAATATATATCAGAATTAACTTGAAAAGTAGGAAAGGATAATGGACCATAATCACTTTGGGCCCAGAGTCAAGTCCTGCAATCTCAGCAGGCTATGATGTCTAAATGATACAGTCTCGCCTGCCAAAGCACAATGCCAGGATCTTGATAAAGGAAGAAGCAAGAAGAAAAAGGATAAATAGGTCACCCTATTCTACTGTTAAGCAGGTGCTAGAAAAACTACAATCATTTATGTAAAAAGGCCTCAGAAAAAGAAAAATTATTTCTCCTCCTGATATCAGGCACTCATCAGCCCATCCTGACTACGAAATGCTCCTAGAGATCAAAAGATTTTGTAAATCCTCTATAAATCTATACCTCTTTCAAGATTATCATATAAGTACTTTGAAAACCCATTGTCTTTTCCTTAAAAAAAATGAGAGAAGAGTAGGGAACATGAAATTTTGGAATTCTAGCTTTTGGTTGTCAGCACTAAAAGCATAAAAATATAAACCACCATAGAACACTTACTTCACAGACCAAAGAGTTTTATAATACAAATGTGTTTAAAAGTATATGGTTAGTCCTATATCCCCAAGTCTGCAGATTATATTCAGTGGCACAAACTGTGTGGATTTATATTTTAATAAAAGATTCTAAACAACGGAAGTTACTTCAATGAGTTGAAAGCTATGATTGATCATTTGTTCATGGTACTAACTTTAGTTTGGTTCTAATTTCGCTCTAACTTTCATTGACAGAATCAGGATAAAGTATTCACGCTGGAAAGAGCATATTTTCATTTTTAATCTTTATAAAGCTGAACTTCAAAGAGATTAACATAGATCATTAAATTGTCTATAATGTATATAAATATAATTAGGAAGTATTTTCAATAAAATTAGCCTTCAAGTCAGAATAAATCACAGTAAGAAAATATGTCTGGGGAATTTTGGATTTGAAAAGGTTAAGTAATGTTTTTAAGGTTGAAGTTTAGATTTATTGAGTTCGCTGAAACATTGGGAAATAGATACATTTTAAATTAACTTTATCCAAGAGAAAATCCAACTTTAATTATACCAGAAATTCTTGACAGACCTGCCAGATACAAATGGGATTTTCTGCTCCTAATTCTAACAAAATCTCTTAAGGAATTATCTAAGTCTGTCAAAAACATCAAAACACTGATATAAAAATCCTTGATCGTTCCAAAACAATATCTAGGGCATATTTCTCTACAAGAAACGTGTAGAAAACAGTACTTCAGAGCCGTGCATTCACAAAGTACTAGGGCCTAGCGACCTTGAAGAGAAATTTTTAGTCTAACTTTTGGAAAAGGGAAACAATCGACTAATATATGTCCCTAGTTTATAACTGCCAAACAAATGGAAAAAGTAATGATAAACAGGGGGAGTGAAAAAATTTCCAAGTCTTATTGTTAATGATTCTGATCACAATTTATGATAAACAGAACAAAAAAAATCTATGATTATGGGTTGATCAAAAGAAATTATTTCCATCTTAAAAAGGGGCAAATAGCCTCTTTCCTACTTCATAAGGTTGCGAAAATAAAATACATTAATGGATATGAAAGTTCTTTGCCAAGTCAGAAATCCTAAAAATGTAAAACAGACTTACTTATTACACACTTAAAATGCAGCTCAATTGTCATAACATGTAAAGATCAGTAAGTATAAACAAGAAGAAAGTGATTATAAGCTGTAAGGAGAAAATAGTGAGATTTTATTGAGGGCAGAAATAAATAACTTTTAATTTAAATAAAATCAAATTATGCTTACTAGGTGAGAAGAAATTTCTCATTAAGAATTGAAAAGGAATCTAAGGTAAAATGACCAAAACAAACATTTGTACCAGTATTTTCTATATGATGTTAGCTCTAAACTACTGACATATCCTGAACAACATTTTACAAGGTGCTCCTCACTGAAAGTGGGACGTTCAAGTTGGGCTACTTCAGAGTCAGAAAGACACTAATTAGAAAGGCAGAAAGAATACTAAAAAAGCTATTTTAGGGTATCAAGCTTCCATTGAACTACTTTCATTGTAAGAATAGACATAGAGAATGCAATTTGCTTGAAAAAGCTAGATTTAACACAGCTAATCTTCACATATTCTACAGAACTAACTTAGAGAAGGAGGCCAGGGTAGGGAAAAGAAACATAATTTTAGACAGTAAAATTGAACTAAGCTGATGAAATGAGCAACAGAGCTTTAGTCAAATTACTGGGGAAAAGATTTCCTGGTAAGAATAACTTCCTGAAAAAAGCATTAGAAATTATATGCTTTAAGAAATTTAAAGCCTGGTAAAGATATATGAAAAGCATGTTACCTGAGGCTTATTTTGACAGATTGAGGAATTTGACAATTTCATTAATAACGCCAATATAAAACATACTTAGATTAGTCAATTTCAAAGATAATGTCATCAGTAAGTAAAGCAGAAGAAATAAACTCCTTAAGGCAAAATCTTTTAACTTTCAGATTATTAGTGTCTATATTTAAGAAATAAGGCTAATGATCATACTAAACTATAAGTTTGTTATGAGTATCTCAAAGATTATATACAAAGTTTAGAGCTTCCTAAACTTCAAAGTTTAGGAAAAGCCACCATTTTAAAATACAAAAACTGTTTATTGAATATCAATAAGACCTAAAATGTAAAACTAAGAAATTGAGGGGAATAGCTACTATTCCTACATTCTTAGGTTTGTACATTTCTAAGTTGACCATTTTAAATCTTGATTTAGTGTCAACCATCAGTATATAGCCTGTGTTTTTCCAAAATCATACTCTAAATTCATATAGTCTTTCAGCCTCCATATATGTATTTTAAAGGTTAACTTCTTTATATGTAGTATATTCTTAGGGAAGAAGGCTTATTTTTCTTGATTTGAGGTGGTTCAATGTATGCATGTCTATCACCACAAATGACCCAAATCAATAATTCATAAAGTGGTTAAACCACCATTAAAATGCAGGCAACATCTACTTCAACATCTACTTTTTCTTCAGACAGCAGTTTAATATAAAAGAAAGAACACTGTGCTTAAAATCAGAGGCCTTTTGATGGATCTGGACCATGGAAATTTTAGTTTCCATTTACTCATTGAAAACTGGGCATCATTCCTACTTTATGGGCTGTTCTAGAAATTAAATTGGATACCTTATTTTTCTAATATGATGATTAAATACCAATTCATTTTTCTCTTATTTGTGATTTTTAAGAAACACACACATAGTTTGGGGAGTTTTTCCCCATTTCTGTAATATAATTAACATATTAAAGCCTTCTTTAAATCTATCTCATAAATAAATCCCACGTAAAAATAATTTTATTTTTTCCCAAAGTAAGAATTTAAAAGAGCCTGCCTTATTCTTTTCTTTATTTTTATTTTTAAAATCTTCATTAATCATTTCATTTATACTCTTTCAAAACTGATTTCTGTATTTTTTTGTATTATTTTATTCTGCTACACCGTGTCTTCTTTCTTTGACTCTATTTCTGCAAGAGGATACATTTCAAAAATACAACTGATGGTGCATAAAGCCATAATAGAATTCCAGTACAAATCATTTGTCCCAGAGTCTAAACTTAGTGGTAAATTATGAAGCATGGCTGCAATACTTGGCTTTCTCTAGAATGTAAAAGTTTTAATTCAATTTAAAATAAATGGCTGTACCTTTCTGTGCCCATTCTAATCCAATATTTTTCCTAATTATTGAAATTTTTCATGTGGTTATTTCATATTTTGGAATATTGGAAAAATTAGGTTTTTTTTTCTTTCAGTTTTCTAATAGTGTTAATCTAAATACAAGTGATAAACAATAAATACTAAATGGGGATCAGTACCTCTAGGTTCTTGCTCTAGAGTCATCTAGACCACATTTCTCTGAGATTCTTTTTTTTTTTTTTTTACCTCAAGTTAAGAGGTAGAAGATGACTTGTAAGGCCCCAGACATTGATCATGAGAATTTGTTTTCCAAAGTTCACACATGAATGGAATTACTCATACAGGTATAAAAAGGAAAAGAGAGTAATAAAAATCAGCTGAATCCACAGAAACAAAATAGACAAAGGAGAAAAAGATATACCTGCAATTTCCTCTAAAGTGTTGGCATGCATGTCCAGCAGCACAGTTCCATTCAGAATGCAACTTCTCAGCTCAAACAAGCTATGCAATGAAAGAGTAGCCACATACGGTTTGCTCCACCTTTCCCCTCCATCTTCCACATCTTCTTCAAACTTCAACCACCTACACAAATAAATATTCTTATCAGCACATTGAATTTTATATTATAGATGAGTTATCATTTTTTACAATTATATAAGTTATAAATAGAAAGATAATCATGTTTCCAGGCATCATGACAGCTCAGGAGGCTGAGGCAGGAGGATTACAAGTTCAAAGCCAGCCTCAGAAAAGCAAGGCCCTAAGCAACTGAGACCCTGTCTCTAAATAAAAAAATACAAAAGAGGGCTGGGGATGCAGCACAATGGTTGAATGCTCCTGAGTTCAATCCCTGGTACCAGGGATTTTTTCATGCTTCTTCTTAGTTTCATGGTTTGGGAAATAGGTAAAATCTCGTTCAAGTTACTCATTTTAGTTTCATTAAAAACCATTCATTTTGTAATTGAAAGATTATTAAAAACAAAGGAAGCTCTTATTACTTTTGTTAATTTTTCTAGCTCTGAACAACCAGTGATCACCATGAATCTGATATAGGGCTAAAAAAGACAGCATATTTCTTCACGTAAAGATAATAGTAATTGAATAAGAAAATAAAAGAATACAATATTTAGTTTAGTGGAAGAAATTAAGCCTAAATATTTTAGTTCTTGATAATATTCCCATTCAAATTTTTAGGGAGGCTATTATAATTTTTTGCCTATTCTGTAGGAAAAGTTTTTATTAGGCTTGTTGAATGAAAATTAGTGAACGAAACTTCCTAGGCTCTGAACATGTAAGAACTGAACTAAGACTCCATTCCCTGAGTGTTCCTTCCAGGGATGCAAAAGAAGAGAACTGTGATGCTGTGATGCCAAATGAGAGACTACTGCTTTCTTAGAGTGAAATGAATAGTAATACCTGGGAATGGTTTGTAAGCATGATTAGTAGAAGAGATAAAGAGAAACCAATGATTTTACTACTTTGGCAGCAACCACTCAATGCTTTAAGGTCTTGCTCTCTAATCTAATAGTTGACCAGTTTAATTCCTCTCTAATGAACCCTATTCTAAATTGCCTTTCCCTCAATCTCCCACCATTTCCTTCATTCCATCTGTCCTTAGTCATTTGGGCCCTACATCTTCTCATCATTCAATATCACAGAAGTTCTATATATAATATTATACTGATATTTTATGTAATCAAATGACCCAACTCCACAGATGACAAATGTGTGGTAGTAACTAGACAGGGAATCAAATGGAACATCTACAAGTAACTAACCAATGAGTTTTTTTAGAATAATTAATGTGCAGAGTAGCAAGAAAGATCAATGAGTTCTTAGAAAGAAAAGAAAAAAAGGAAAGGAAAGCTTTGCATCTGTGTCTGGTGGTGTTTAGGAGGGGGAAAAAATGGTCAGGAAGTGAAAGGGAAAGCAACAGGGAACAAGAGCCAATCCTGCAAAGTTTGCAGACAGGGAGGAAGAGCTATACCTATAGAGGACATATCGAGGTTGGAAAAAACTGACATTTCAGCCCCAAGTCACTGAAAGTTATCCTCTTCCAGGTTGGCAATTTTATAGATGTTTTTATTTACACAGTTAGAAATTTTTCATGTTAGTGATTCTTAAAGCTTTTCAGCCCTTAACAGAGCCAAAATACTTCACACATCACATGAAGAATATTACAATATTGCTCATGAACTGTAACTGGTTCTACCCTTTTCCTACTAAAGAGTAGGATTTTAATACCTGGCTCCTCTTTAACCAGATGAGAGCATGTCACTGTGACTAATGATGGTGAAAATGATTTCTGGTCAATGAATTCAGAGAAGAAATTATGTGTGCCAATTCCATATTGGAGTATTTTCTTGCTGAGAGCCTCTGAGCTCTCTTTTATCCTGGGCATGAAAACAAACAATGTTTGAGACAGAAGTTTCTCTATCAACCAGAGTCTTTAAGTAACTATAATGAACAGAGGAGTCTCCACTGATCCCATGATACAGATGAACAATGAGCCATTAAAACAAACAAACAAACAAACAAACTTGTAGTTTAAAACCATTGAGATTCATTATATTTTATACATAATTCAGATGATATCAGTTGATATAGATGACCATTTTAGCTATTCATCCAGCATAAAAATCTTAATTAGAATTGTTGGTGAAAGTGAATATGATTTTAATAAATATAATAAATTAGAATTAGTATTATTAAATTATCAATAAATTACTAAGGCCATGGTCACATTATGAATGTCAGCATCATAAAGAATCAACCTCTTGTTGGACAATTTGAGGCAGAATTGTTTTGTAGAATGTTTCTTGGACTAGTTGAGAATAAAAATAAAGCTAGGTTTGTCCATATTCTACAATTAAGCTACCATGTGACCAAGGAAAATTCTTTCAACTTCTCTGGGTTACAATTTTCTCATCTGAATAAAAATGTGATAAATTCAGCACATTAAATTATTTGTCCAAGATCACCTAGCCAGTGATCTTGTCAAAGCAGGATTCAACTCCAGGATGTTGTTAATTTTATTTTTCCCAGTCTGTTTATATTTCTCACCATAATATAATTGCCTGTGTTGAATTTATTATGGTTCTTTTCAGCTCAAAGATCTTATGTTAATTCTTATAGTACAAACTGATTGAACATTTAATTTTTGTCCATGTCTAAAAATAATCTCAAGTTGAAAAATGTTCTTATTTTCTCCCTTTCTTTTTTACACTGACTATATTTGTTTTCTTTATTATCTACTGTGCTAGAAAAAAATAGACATTTTTCCTTTGTAAGAACCAAATATCCTATTCTGTGTAATGGACTATAATGAAATGTTCCACAAAATGGTGGCACCAATGGAATAGATGCAACTTTTATTAAATCTTCTGTCACCTTATTTATTACTGACATGATGTGATTTTCAGACAAAACGAGCAAAAGAAAGACTATATAGAGGTACTTAGGCTAGTGCTAATTTGATTGAAGAATCATGTTGGATTTTAAATCTAGTTTCTAATATGTTGGGTGGCAAAGAACACATAAGGTTATGAAAGGATGTTAATCATGTTTGAGGTGAAATAGATTTTTTTTCCTATGAGAAGATGGCCTCCATTTATTATTTCTGGAGTTATAGCACTTTCTACCATCCACATGTTAAAAAATTGCTTCTAAAATTTTGTCTTTAAAATTTTTATTTGAGTGGATACCTGAAGAGTGTTTGTACATGACCCTGAACTAAAAATCATATGTTTCCTAATTTCTTAATTACATCAGTAAAACTGACCCATACAATAGTATTTTTTGTAAATTGTAATAACATTTTAATTTTTTAAATATTCATATGCCTCTTCATCCATATAAAATGGTCTATCCCTTTCTTAAAAGGAAGTTATAGTTAATTTTTACTTCTAAATAATAGTAAAAACAATTAAATAAGGGACCAAACATTTACATCATTTCATTTGGCTGTTTTGAAAGTAAAAAATTCAATTTTAAGAACCCTGATAAGAAGGAATGGAATCTCTGGAAGTTCCAGGCAATTTGGTAGTTTAAATTACCAAAATGTTACATGCATGGATGGTTTGATGTACCCATAGATTTTATGAGTATTTATAGAAGACAGAAGGTGCTTTCCATAAAAAGGAACCCACAAGTAACAAATATCAAGTTACTAAAGATACTAAACATTACACGATTCAGTAATTAATGCCAACCCCAGAATGATGCCAGTTTTAAGAGACATTTAAATAAACGCTTTTAAAGAGACTATAAAGTAATATATATGCCACATGAGTATATCTCTCTTTTCTGTTTTTTTTATCCCATAAACAGGTTTGGAACACATTAGGTCTATTTCAAAATATTTAGTCCCTAAATATACTATGAGTTGCAAGATGTCTGATTGTAGTTAATGACCTAAAGTGCTGCAATTTGTTCCAGTTTTCAAATAAAGTCTGCTGACATTTGTTTGAATAGCAAACCAAAGCAAATAAGAGTCTCAGAGCATGAATGTGATGTGATGGATGATACAAAAAATAAAATGAATAAAAAGCTGAAGGCCAAATACATGACATTTTCTACATGGGATGGGAGAAGATTTAAACTCTGAGCAGATTATTTTAATTTCTTCCAGTATGTCTAGATCTGTTTTCATCCATGATTAGCACACTGAAGTCTCTTTCTACTAAACATTAAATAAGTGTTTCATGAACTCTTTGAGGATTAAGTTAATGACAATCTGCTGTACAATACTTGAATTGAAAATATACAAAAGAAAATTCTTTTTCCAGATAGAAATAAATGTTTTCTAGAGAAGTTAACTCTTCCTGTGTATTCTATCACCACCAACTCAGTTCAACTTTTCTAGGAATTTTTATTCTCTGATTATATCCATACAGAAAGAAGTTCCTAGATCATCCAAAATTATAGCTTTGGAGGAAATGAAACATCCTTTCTTAGGAGAGTTAGGGCACATGGAAGGAGGTGGATATGGTTAGGGTGGAGCTAGAGAATAACATTTATAATCACAGAACACTCATACCTCTCTTAAGGAGAGTGAAACATATCTAAGCCCAATGTTCTTAATTCACATGATCTTCACATTTCACATGCTGCTAAAAATTCTAGATTACTTGAACATTTACTAAATTTTGAGTATCAAATATCTTCACTGCATCAATAAAACTGTTTTGATGTAATATTTCTTTTCCACACTTCCATGTATGTATCAGAGGCTAAGTGTACCCCCTGCCTGGCTTCCCCTGAGCTCATCTGTGAGAAGCATTTTTAAAGGGCAACCACAGTGAGTCGAACATGTTGTCTCCATCATCACACAGCTGTGGTGGCTTTACTCACTTTTCTATTAATAACATGATATACTATTTATATGCATGACATTGTAATTGTGTTGATTTCATTAGCCTCTTCTTATGTTTCTTGTAGAGTTTTAAAAAGTGAACATCTGGTTTTCAGAAACATTTATTAAATAATTATGATTCAAAAATTAAACTTCAAAATCTAAAAGTTTGCCTAAGTTTCACTTGGCAATAACAGTGGACATAAATTATTCAAGATGTGATATGTGACAGGTACAGTGTGCTGATAAAATATTGCTTTTATTTTCACTGTTAGGGTAGACAATTATTAATCCCACCTGGAATATTAACCAAAAGAAAAAAGGTGCTTCAAATTAATGCTAATGATTGATTAGAATGAAACTGCATTTGAAAAATCAGATGGATTCATAAATTAACCCAAATTAGTCCTTTTAGAAAAACAAAATTACTTCTGCCACTTTAAAACCACTAAATTTCTAAGTTCTCAATAAATATATTCTGTTTACCCCTAAAGTGTTGTATCTCAGCCAAAATTCATCTACCCTCCTCTTCAATGTCTGTTACTATTTTGACTGCTCATCAGATGTCTCCCTGAACCTCAAACAGCTGTACCACTAAGCTTCCAAAAGCATGACTACAAACATTGGTCCTTCTTAATATGGTTAAAATAATTAACTTTGCTCTTTATAGATAAGCAGCAATACTTTTTCTTCTATTAGATGTAGGGTCTCTGGTTTTATCCCTAAGTCCTTGATCCATTTTGAGTTGAGTTTTGTGCATGGTGAGAGATAGGGGTTTAATTTCATTTTGTTGCATATGGATTTCAAGTTTTCCCAGCATCATTTGTTGAAGAGGCTATCTTCTCTCTGATGTATGGTTTTGGCACCTTTGTCTAATATAAAATAATTGTAATTTGGGGGGTTAGCCTCTGTGTCCTCTATTCTGTGCCATTGGTCTACCAGTCTGTTTTGGTGCCAATACCATGCTGGTTTTGTTACTATTGCTCTGTAGTATTGTTTAAGGTCTGGTATAGTGATGCCACTTGCTTTACTCTTTCTGCTAAGGATTACTTTAGCTATTCTGGGTATCACATCAATGTTTATAGCAGCACAGTTCACAATAGCTAAACTGTGGAACCAACCTAGATGCCCTTCAATAGATGAATGGATTAAAAAATGTGGCATATATACATAATGGACTATTACTCAGCAGTAAAAGAGAATAAAATCATGGTATCTACAGGTAAATGGAT